CAGAACTGTTTTGAGAAGGTGCTTAAGTTTTGAGCCATGTATTATTACTATGAATTAAGCTACTACTACTACTACTATTACTATCTTATACCCTGATGAAGGGGAAAAAAGAAAATCGGCCAAACATATCGGCATCATATATCGGCTGCCCTGATTTCTAAATATCGGCATCGGCCAGAGAAAAACCCATATAGGTCGACCTCTAGTTATAATCAATTAAGTTCTCTATACTGCATAATGAATCTCTTATTTACATAGAGTCTACACTTTGTTGTAATGAGATGATTCGTGCTGAACGCAACCATAGACTGTATAAAAACATGGACGTAGTGTCCGTGACGTCACCCGTACAAGGCTCGAAATTGCGACCATTTTGGTCACATATGCTCCCGAAATTTAATCTGTGCGACAACCACTTTTTGTACCAGGCTGTAAACATTTTTTTCTGCTGTAAAGTTGGGCATTTTAACATGGGGAGTCTATGGGACTGACTCCCTTTTGGAGCCAGCCTCTAGCGGCCAGTCGATGAATTGCAGTTTTAGTCACTTCCATGTTGGTTTCACGAGAGAGACAGGAAGGTTGCCGCTTGAACGCAACACCTGAACAAAACCTGTGGCGATTTGAGCGATGAGTGGATTCTAACTTAAACACCTCTGATTGGCTGTTGGGTTTCAGAAATCAACAGATATATCTGTGATTAGCTACACTGCTCAACGCTGCAAAAGATGTTGAAATAGAAACTGATCTCCAGAGCGCAAACCATAAAGCACTGGATAGTTTGCCAAATCTGCAATGAAATGCCATTATTACAGCATTAACTGAGGGTGCTATTGATTTCGTTTGAGGGTGCTTAGCACCCCCGTAGAACTGGGCCTGCCACTACATCCCTTTTTTAAACATTGTTGAGCATTTATAAAAGACTTGACTGCCCTACAACACTTACCCATATGGCCAGCTTTGCTCTGTTGCCATCTATTGCAATAGTTTTCACTTTAAAGTCGACACCTAAATAACCAATGAAAAATATGAAATGAAGCATACTTTAAAATACACAAGGATTAAAGTATATTTGTTAAGGTAAATCTAAATATTTCAACAAAAAGTTGCTCAGTAAGATTTAGTTTATAAGCTCCTTAGTTTTGTGCATTAACTGATTACAGGCCTGTTAACAATGTCTGGTTATTAATATTCCCAAACACTCATATGTGACTCACCAATGGTTGCAGCTAATTCTGGGTCAAAAGTGTCATCTGTGAAGCGCAGGAGCAAACTGAGAACATAACGGATAAATATAAGAAAATCAGCATTAAAATTATAAATAATTGTTATAATTAAGTCATTTCATATTTTTTCATATTATTGTTTTCTTATACAATTACACTTTATTTTCTGGAAGCATGACAATAAATTCAATTATGAAGAGCACATTTACTTTCCTGACTGGATGAGGAAGGGCTTTGAAAAATTACTTTAACACTAATTTAGCTACATCATTTTGTCATCATAAGTGGACATGTTTAAAGTACTATCTGTTCATTACAATAAGTATTTGACCCATCTATAAACTCAATCTAAGGCCTGTGTGTTTCACAGGTAACTGCCACACAGTGAGCAGATAGCATGACTGCTACACGAAAACAGCTGCCAGCTAACACTGTTTCCCTGCTCTTATGAAATATTTATATGGATGCGACAACAGTAACAGAGTACAAAGTATTCATTACCAGAATATTTTTTAAAAGTCTAACTAAATATAACAGTTATGTCCGTGCTTCACAATTCTTGAAGCTAACAATCTACAGTGCTTAGATGTCGACACATCAGAAGGCAAAAAATAGCACGAGGGGCACAATATAGTGCATTTCCTTTTGTTCTTGAGGCCAAAACAGCTTTTAAAAGTTAAGTTTAATGGCTGAATAGAACAGTCAACATTAGTTTAGCGGAGCTTGTTGCTCGTTCAGACGAGGCTAACGCTATTTAACAACTCATCCTACTGTACTAACGAAACAAAAACAGCAGATTAAGACCTTACCTTGATTTACCCACACCACTCTCACCGATAATTAAAATCTTTAAAGTCGTTAACACGTCGTCGTCCATGTTGTAGCTGTTTACACTAATGCTTGGTTAAACTCAGCGTTCACTGCTGCTGCGCTGGAACTTCCGACTGGAGCGTGACGTCACCAGTATCAAGTTAGATAGATGTTGCGCAAGAAATCCTGTCGAAATACATTTTGAGTGAGGACACTTGAATATGTAGATTTACTATAGCAAAACTAAAATGTGTTTAAATGTATGTCTGACCAAATCCACCGGTTCGTTTTGGCCCCCCCAAACTCAAACGTCAAGCTACGCCTATGGGACACTGGGCCTACTTTTAATCATCACTACATAAATGGTGTTCATAAAGAGATGTGGAAGTGGAATAACTATTCATGATGAGGAATTGACTGACAAAATAAATCCCAAATTCTCTACAACAAATTGTCAGTCAGCATTTGATCACATTGACTCATATGCAGGGCCATGCACAGGGGGGTGGCCCGGTGGCTAGAGCCACTGCCCCTTTGCCCTTATCGGCTAAGGTGCCCCTCTCAAAATTTTGTAAGAACCTCTAGTAAATTATATGCTATTTTGTTTAGTTGTCTGAATCATGGGATAAAAAAACTAATCTTGATTCGCAATTTACTCAATTAGACAATGATTGGACAATAACCAATAATTTGTATTCTATAATATTTTTCCTATATTTTCCTGATGACAATTTTATGATTTGTTTATACTACAAACACTTTTTCCATTATTATCACAGAATAAGGCAGAAGATTTATTTTATAGTTTCTATAGCCAACTGTAACAAATGCTAGGCCTATGTCAATTAGCACTGCATTATTTTTTATTACCTCAAGATGACTTAAAAATCATCAGTCAAAACGTTTATTTTTGTCCATATTAGGGATATCCTGGCACGTCATAAGTTATTACTTCTGTGGGTCCGTTTTGGAGTTTGACTATGAATGAAACAAATAGACTGCATGAGAGTGTTTACGCCTCGGTCCTGACCACATCACTGTCTGTACTGGGTGTTTTATTTTTTTTATATATTTGCATGTATTCACATGCAGATTGGATTAGCTACTCGTGTGCTGGACTGTATTGATTTGGCTAAAGCAGGATACTACTGAATGATGCATCAGAGGGGATTTAGAAGTGGTTATACACCGTATACTTGCCTATACCCTGCACTACACCACTGGGTGTACTCTGTTAGAAGTTTTTTATGTTGTTGTTGTTTTTTTTTTGGTTGCACTTTATTTCGCCCACTTTAGACATTCTACTAACTACAAATAACTTGGCAACAGGCATGTGCACAGATAGACCCTTTTGGCGTCTGACTAGATAAGTGCCCTTTTTTTAATACATTTTTTTATATATATATATTTATATATATATATATATATATAATGGATAGGGATGCAATAGGGATTTCGCCTAGGGCGTCAAATTGGCTAGAAACAGCCCTGGATAGAGGTACAGGGCATTTAATGGATTGTGCTGTTGTTTAACAACATACCAACTGTTCAGTTGACAAACGTCTTTCCGAAAAAAAAGGTTCCGTAGACAAAAGCTCAAAGTTTTGAAAGTTGTGATTTGGTGAACATTTCATGATCTAGCGTCTTATTATACAGTGTGTGCCATTGCAAAGACTGTAAGTCTATCCTTCACAGCATTGTTTTCATCCTCGTAAAATTCAATATGGTGTCTATCCACAAGCTCCTCCCACTCTTCGACATCACCACGAAGTGTTTGACCACAATTAACGCACACTGTGCACACCCACAGTTAGTGTACATCCACCACTGCCTGACCTTCCTTAGTGGTGCCAGCCAGGTTTGTCCTAAATGACGGCACTGTTTGTTACTGCTGTGAAACTACTGTTAAAACATCTCAGTACAGCAAGCCTAACTTAACCCTTTATTAAGCTTTACAACAAACAAGCTAGTCTGGCATTGGCATAACTTAGCATCACACAAGGTTGAAATTACATCAAAATTTAATAAAAAAGACCCCCAAAATTCAAGATATGAACTGTCATGTATTTACCCGAGTTTTTATTTTAGTTTTTAAAAGAATACAGTAAAGCAATATCACATGAGCAAATGTGCTTTTTTCCCAAATATCAGCATGATTACTAGTGTGATATTCATTTTACACAACAGTTTAATAAACAATAAGTTAATTATACTAATTTAAATTTTTTTAGACACACCACTGTACATTTGGAATGTTTTTGCTCTATTTCACCAACAAACATTCCAAACGAGGCAGAACAGTTGCGTCTCCCAGCAAGAGTGTTGTTTTGCCTTAAACAATTCAGCATTTTTAAACGAATCAGGTGGGTCACTGATTCAGTGACCCATTCATAAAGGGTGCTTCTCAAATGGAAGGCTGCATAGTAAAGAAGCATACTTCCTAGTCCAGTCTTTCTGAGGCTTCCTGCTCAGCATTAAATGCTAGAATAAGATGGTCTAGTAAATGCTACTCATAAACGTTCCCACCTTGCACAAAAACACTATAATTTGATGCAGTGCTGCCTGAGCAACAGGGGCGAGCTGGCTTTTGACCCAGCACTCAGTCTGAAGTGGCCAGTTAAACCAGAGCTTTGCTGCTCATTGCCGCTTATGATAGTGTGTTGAATTAGTATCGCTGTTGTTTCAATATTTTCAGTGAATGTAAGTGAACTATGCTCATATTCTGATTTTAAAATACCCCTGAAATGGGTCATACGATTGTCATTACCCGAGCATATAAATCAAACACTCTAGAAAACCCTGCTCATTAAAGGATGTGCATTTAATTCATGGATGGAGCAAGAACATAAACTGTGCACAGTTCAGCTGAATGATAAGGTTTAATCAAATCATGATACCCAATTAAGAATAGTATATGTTAACTTTATAAATGGTAATCATGCAATCATTTTGACAATGATGTTAGACTGCTTATGAAGGCCTATGACAAGTTCTAAAAAAAGTAGTTTTTCTGTTTTGTTGAGCAAAGAAGTCAAAGTGGTGGAAAACATTTTGTGCAGAAATGGATGAGGGCACAGATTCAGATGTAAGGGAAATCTTTATTCTGATTCCAAAGTTACTAGGAAAAAAAAAAAAACAAAACAGCAGAAATGTTTGGTGTATTATAGCAGCGACTTATGGTCAGTCCAATATAGTACTCAGCTTCATGTAGTTACCTAGTACATATATGCTAAATTTCATAAGTCATTCACAATGCAGTTTATTAGCTGAGCCCAGCGTTATGAACTATAGCTCTACCTAGGGTCCGACAAATGTGTGTGGGAGTGGCTGAGTAGAAGGGGAGGATTTCATCTCAGACACCCAGACACTTTTAGCTCAGAAAAAGACTAATTGGCAAATACAAAAGGGTTTTGACACCTTCAGTGCTTGGACTTCTAATGAACAAGCATCAAACCTGAGCCACAGGGAAGTGTATTAGTTGTCTAAACAAGAAAAACCAAAAGCTTACAGCACCTGGTATTCAGGCGGTCTCCCATCTGAGTACTAACCAGGCCCAACCCTGCGTAGGCTTCTGAGATCAGACGAGATCAGGCACGCTCAGGGTAGTGTGGCTGTAAGTGAGAGATGCAGCCAAAAGTAGGCATCTTAAAGAACACTCCCACACAGTGTGGAGTTTTGGTTGCACTTTATTTCGCCCACTTTAGACATTCTACTAACTACAAATAACTTGGCAACAGGCATGTGCACAGATAGACCCTTTTGGCGTCTGACTAGATAAGTGCCCTTTTTTCAATAGATTTTTTATTTTTTTCACTTTATTTCGCCCACTTTAGACATTCTACTAACTACAAATAACTTGGCAACAGGCATGTGCACAGATAGACCCTTTTGGCGTCTGACTAGATAAGTGCCCTTTTTTCAATAGATTTTTTTTTTTAAATTTTATATTTTAGTTTTTGAATTAAGCTTGTGCCCGACAACTGCATTTAAGTTCTAATAGACCTTAGTCAGGGTAGCACCATATTTAATTTTTGACTGGAATGAGGCTGTGAGGGATAGAGGTACAGGGCGTTTAATGGTAATGGTTTAATCTGGCATTGGATGGAGAAGTTGAACACGCACAATACAAACCTACTGTAGGTGGAGGTAATGCTCCAATGAGGAATGAGTTTGTATATATATACATACATATACTTTATATATCCTCCTGAGAACCAGAAATAAAAAGCTTTGTGAATTTAGTATTTTTTTCATGTCATTACATTGTTTAGAGCATAAGAAAAAATGGTAAAATAATTACTAATAATTTATACAAATTATATTTTATTCATATGACACCAGGACTCAGTTTTTCTAAAAATAAAATGACAAGAATAGACATGAAAAGGCAAAAACAATTGGGTTGCATATTAAAGTGCTGTTGGGACAGCATGTTGAAAAAAGAAGTGTAATAATGGGAGTAGTAATTGGCCATTAATAATATTATAATTTTATTATTTTTATATTTCCTAAGAATATTGATATATAATTTGTTTTCATATTCAATTATTTTGTCTCCTAAAATGTATAATAAACAGTAAAATGCTTTTACTCCTGGTGTCCTCTACAGTGGACATGTATGAAATGATGTCCTGTTTCATAACAGGAAGTCATATTTTGATTTGAAACCCCA